TGTGGAAAATTCTGAAAGAGATGGGAATACCAGACCACCTGACCTGCCTCTTGAGAAACCTGTATGCAGGTCAGGAAGCAACAGTTAGAACTGAACATGGAACAACAGACTGATTCCAAATAGGAAAAGGAGTAGGTCAAGGCTGTATATTGTGGAGACTTAGGTTCCTCCAAATCTTAATTTCACAGCACTTAAAAATATGTCAGCAATATGAACCCAAGTCAATGTAAAAGATTAAGTAAAAAATTAAGCAGAGTTTCCAAGATTTTTAAAATGAGGAACCACAGGACTTCCCTGGTGGTCTAGTGGTTAAGAATTCATCTTCCAATGCAGGGGCCATGGGTTTGATCCCTGATTGGGGAACTAAGATCTCACATGCTGCAGAACAACTAAGCCTGCATGCCACAACTACTGAGCCCCTGCATCTCAGCTAGAGAGAAGCCCACACTCTGTAACAAAAGATCCTGCATGCTGCAACTAAGACCAACACAGCTGATAAATAAATATTAAAAAAATAATTATAAAAAGAAGCCACTCTTTTGACAGGTCTATTAATCCCTCCCCCCGACACATACAATTTTACCTCGTTAATTCAAAGCCCAGAGATTTTTCTTCTCTAGGTTTGGTGCTAGAATAGCTGACACTTAGTGATATTTATTCCAAGGCACCATTCATTCATTCATTCCTTCATTTACTTACAAGGTCAAGTCAAAACATGTGAGTCTCCTGAATAGGCTAATAGTTTAGCATCCCTTCCACCAATGTGCTTTTTACTGTTTATTCAGTGCCTGCTTAGTGGAGGGTAGGGAAAGCTGATTTTTTGTTAATAAAAAATGAAAATATCTTTGTTTGTAACCCACATGTCAGCTATTCTCTCATCCTCTGAGTATTTTCAAAGCAAAACTCCACTTGCAGAAGAGCATTGGTAAGCGATGTAATTTACTGACGCATTTGAAAAGGTGATATAGAAAGGCATTTACATTGTACAGGAGACAGAATTATGCTTGAAAAATCCCAATACCACATGTGTAGGATGATATATGTTCCATGTAGACAAAAGAAAAATGTGTTTAAAATAAACCTGCTCATTTGTCCTCAACTTTTTATTCTAACTCTTGCCTTCACTCACCTTCCTGTCTTCAAAGAATCTTTGATATGTCAACAGAATTAGTGGATCCTTGGTTAATCCAGCCAATATGACCAGGAAGCCGAACAAAAGCAGGAAAGTCTTTTGGCTCTAGTGAGCGAAGACCAGCATCTCAAGGTGGCTACTGAGCCTGTATTCCCCTCCCCTCTCCCAAACATCTCCGCTACTCCTGTGCCTAGCTACAGACACCCTCACACCTACCTTCAAGAAAACTTACCTCTCCAGTGGCCCACATCCCCCCAGAAAAGCCAGACACTGGCACACTCTCTTAGTGTAACTCTAAGGGGATGCTACCCATCTCATACTTGCCTGGATCTCCTCCATCAGGGTCCAAGGCCCCAGGACCCACTCTGAAATTGCTTCTGTAAACTAGATGGATGATTCTCTGATGGGTCCCCTTATCTGCGATCTCTTCAGTAGAAGGCCTCCTGGCAAAAAAGATCATAAGTTCTGGAAACAGAAGATAGGAAGTTAGAAGCCCTTAGGACTCTGGGTACCAGGGAGAAAAGGTCCCCGATGTGGCCTGCAGAGAGGGGAGGGGCATATAAGAAGCCAAGGAGAAAGCTTCCTGCTAATAGACCCACAGCAGGAGCTGTTCTCCCTCCTCCTTTCCATTCCAGAACTCTTCCTAAGGCCCTCCTGGCATGTGCAGAAGTGCATAGTGACAGCTTCTTGCTCCCCTTTACTTCTTGCACAGTCTTCTCTCCTCCCCATAGAGAAGGCTACTCCTTGAGCAGTTTTGATAGGGAACCAACAGTGATGACTTAAAAACAAAAATCATTAACTGAGCCTCAGAATGATGGAACATCTCCAGAATGAGACTCAAAAAAATCCTCCCCTCAGGTCATTCATATTGAATGGGTGTTACTCCCAGGCTTTAAATTATTTTAATATGCCTTTCAGGTCACTTTCCTCTCTGTATAAGCCCCATATTGAACCATTCCTATCTGTCATTGTTACCACCACTGCTGGTGCCCCTAAACAGCACTTAGCGGCTGCTCTCTCTGCCCAATCTCACATTCTGGGTGGAGAAACAGGGAATACAATAACATAGCAACAATAAACCCAAACAGGATAAAGGGTGCAAGTGTCCAGAGAGTGTTGCAGAAAGAAAGTAATAGAGAAATCAAGAGGAGAGAGAGCTTTAACCAGAGGCCCACAGAACAGGAGAAGCATTAGAAGCAGAAAGTTAGTGGTGCTGATTGTAGACAAAAGGCAGTTCCACTCAGGCGAAAGTGAATTCCTCAGTCCCAATTAGTCCATTCATTCCAAGTGAAAGGGCTCAAGACAGTGGTGCTCCTAGACACGCTGGGCAACTAGCTCTGATTTGTAGACTTTGCCAGTTTCCATGGTGCCGATACTCCTTCTATTGCCTGTTTCATGCTACCAACTTATGACTTACCACAGAGTTGTAAAGACACATACAAAGCTGACTGTCGCCAAGCACGTGTAAGCTGGTTCAAGCACACCATTGGGACAAGACCTCTGATACCTACTGCTTAAATTTAGTCAAGTTCCACCAGCCCCCAAACAGCACTTGTCAAGATGGAGATGTACTTACAGAAAGTACAAAGCGGTTACATCAAAACCTGATGTGCTGCCTTCATACACAGAATAGAGAACATGACTTATCTGTAGCGCTGCAATTCCCTGAATGGTGTTTGTAATTTTCTGGTCCACCTCTAGTCTTAGTAAGTATTCCCTTCTGTAAAGGACAGGACATATTATCAGCCTCTGCTCAACCTTTTGGGCTAGAGAGAATGCGACCAGCCCAATCTATACAGTTACCACCACTGCCGTGGCCCCTGATAGCACCTCCCCAACTTCTGTTTGGATGTGCCTGACACCAAGGTGATTACATGCTAACTATATCCATTCACAGCACTAAAATGGTGACTTTGAGCCTCCAGTCTGGTAACCTGGACTAATATAACTCCTAGAAGTAAATATACTTCAAGACCCTCTGAACTCAAAGCTGCTTTTTTGCTGCAAAGAGAAACTGGAAACATCAGAAAGCAAGAGTGAGGGCTCCTCACAGACCTCTAATAGGAATCTCAGCTTTCCCTGGGCGCTTTCAGCATTACCCCTCTACGCTTTTACAGCCACTCAACAAAACAAACTCTACTACAGGGGTCAGGCCATAGCAATACTTTAGGACCTACTGCCAGCGCAAGTACCGTAGGGTGGTGGGAAGCAATTGGCTGAGGGTAAGAGGGAGCCTGTGAGAGACAGGTGAGGCAGCGTCTAGTCTGAGTCTATACAAAGGACTTTTCTTCCATCCTATAAATGTGTCAAAGGCAGAGCAGTTTCAAATGTAAGGATTAAAAAAAAAAAAAAAACTCCCAAGTTCTCCCTCATCCTCTCTTCCAGTTGGAGATAAATGCAGTCTTTCTCAGAGAACAAGACAGAAGTAAGAGGCAAAAAAGATGTCCTGAAAAATAAATATCAATATATATGTGAGAGGCTTTTTTTCTTTTACATCCAAATACTCCTGCCAATTATTTTTGAAGAACTTGGTTATGGTTCATTTGGAAAAAACTATTCTAGGTAGCTCTTCTGAAAAGTAGCCAATAAGTCTATTTATCATTTCTTGGAGCCATCTGAGCTTTACAGCCATTCTTTCTTTCTCTTGGCCTCTACCCTTTTGCTTTCCAGGTGAATTGCGCTAAATTCATTATGAGAGATTTTATTGTCTCATATTCCCCCTTGCTAAATACCTGACTGATTTCATTGTTTTCATGAACCTAAAAACCTAATTGACAGAGGGATGTGTGTTCCCTTCAAATTGCACATTCACCCACTGGAGGGGAGTCTGAGTGTATACAAGCATTCCAGAGTCCCTGGATATTGCTCCTGATATTGCACAATTTTCCAATAAAGATGTGACTCACACAGACATAAGTCAGCAGAAGTATTGAAAATCTTGGGCTTTCCAGGTGGCTCAGTGATTTAAAAATTTGCCTGCCAATGCAGGAGACACAGGAGACACGGGTTTGATCCCTGAATCAGGTAGATCACTTGGAGGAGGAAATGGCAACCCAATCCAGTATTCTTGCCTGGGAAATCCCGTGGACAGAGAAGCCTGATAGGCTGCTTTCCATGGGGTCACAAAGAATCAGACACAACTGAGCACACACACGTGCATGCACTGAAAATCTTAAAGATGCATTGGATAAGAGATGCAGGTGGCTTCTTTGACTTAAAAAGCCTGCAGGCAATTGTGTGCCATGTTGAGAAGGGGAAGAGATTGCCATTGGGAGAGTTTATCATTCCTTAAATGTTTTCTCAGTTTTAAAATTACCACATCCCTTTCAAGAACTCCACCAAATATGTCTATTGTCTGAAGAAACTGATTTTTTTCTTTTACTACAGCCTTCAAGATAGTCCGGGTTTCCCTTGTAGCTCAGCTGGTAAAGAATCCACCTGCAATGCTGGAGACCTGGGTTCGATCCCTGGGTTGGGAAGATCCCCTGGAGAAGGGAAAGGTTCGATTCCTGAGCCCAGAAGTTCCACTGGAGAAGGGATAGGCTCCCCACTCCAGTATTCTTCGGCTTCCCTGGTGGCTCAGCTGGTAAAGAATCCATCTGCAATGCGGGAGACCTCGGTTCGATCCCTGAGTTTGGAAGATCCCCTGAAGAAGGGAAAGGTTTCCCACTCCAGTGTTCTGGCATAGAAAATTCCATGGATGTCCATGGGGTCACAGAGTCGGACACTTCTGAGCGACTTTCACGTTCAAGATAGTCCATGCACGACTTTTTAAAACACAGTTCAATAAGTCTGGGGGCTCTCTTTTGTCACAGAAGAGATGTGTGGCTCACCAATTTATTTAACATTTCTTTTCCCTAACTGCAGTGAAACACCATTCTGCACATTTGCAACACTCTCTCAGGAAGCATTGTTCATGACAAGAGAGAACCTAATATGGAACACACCTTGCACCTGACATTTTATAAACCTTTTCCTTCCTGCAGCAAAATCTTAAAATTTCAGAGTCAGATGAATTTATCTGCAGTGACCTTTACATTTTAATTAACTTCACTTTTGCTATCAGCAAAATGGGGAGAAACATATCTGCTGCTACCCTACAATGAAAAAAAGAATGGATAGCTTGACTTCCTTGGGAAAAAGGCATTCCAAAGAGCACAGAGTAAGTGCTGGTGGAGACAGAAGAAAAGCTTCCCAAGTAATTACAATCCAAGAGACTAAGATGAGTCAAAGTCTACAACAGAAGCCCAGAGACAACTCTATTCATTTATACTCCAGGATAAAAACTCCTTCTTCCTTTCCTAATTTCCCAAGATGCTTAGCACATTTTTATGTCCAATAAATGTGGCTATGTAACTAAATGAAAAATGAATAGTCAACTGAATTAGTGTCTTATCTTTAGTTAACAGGTATACAATATTTATTCTTTCAAAACTGGAAATGGACAGATTGATAACTCTTGCTTTGAACTATAAAATGTCCAAATATCCAAATGAAAATTGTCTTTTTGTTATCATTAGTGTAATTTTGTTATATCTTAATTTTATCCCATTTATCAGCTTTCTAAGATACAAAGTAAAATGATAGAGTCTTATAGACATCTCCTGAAAAACCCAAGAGATGATCTTATCCCATATTTTACTTCTCAAATTCCTTTGGCATTCTTCTGTTCGACACCAGTCAAAACATCATCAGTATGTTTTAATGTGATTTGCTAATTTGCAGAGAGGACAGTATGAATTTTAGTCTGAATTCAATGGTCAGAAAATGTCTTAGCTGGATAAAGAGGAGTTGGAGTGGTTTTAATCTGTGGTAAAGCTTATCTCTACTTGATTTCTCTGAAATATTACCTGGGAACTTAACTGTTGAGAGTGAGCTTCTAGTGTAAATTATACTGTTATTCTTGAAATTTCTATTTTTACCCACTAAATGGACTGCCATATTTAGAGGAAAGCCATCAGAGTTGATGAGCTTATTTTACAAGTGGGTCCTTAATAAGTATCTCTCAGTGATAACCAAGACAATGATGGCAAAGATAAGCTTTGGGGGAGGGAGATGGGAGAGAAGTTCAAGAGGGAGGGGACATATGTACACCAATGGCTGATTCATGTTGATGTTTGACAGAAAACAACAAAATTCTGTAAAGCAATTATCCTTCAATTAAAAAATAAATATTTTTTAAAAAGGTAAGCTTTTAATGGATGCAGAAAACCTTTAAGCATCATGGTGTCAGATTTCTTATATTGCCACTTTCCTGAAAATTACTTTTTGATAATGCTTAAAGTATAAAATGTTCCCAGTTTTTGAATGGCTATCATCAAAAAGAACACAAATAAGAAGAGCTGGCAAAGACAGAAAAAAGGTAACCCTCGTGCACTGTTACTGGGAATGTAAGTTGGTGCAACTACTATGGAAAATAGTATGGAGGCAACTCAAAAAACTA